AAAAAAAAAAAAAAAAAAAGAAGCGTAGATTCAGAAAATAAATATCAAATAAAATATAAATACCAAATATAAAGATATGACTGAAATAATACTCAATAGAATCTTATATATAATAATGAAAAATTGAAAATAACCTAAATTTCCAAGAATAGAAACAGATCATTATTAATAACATCAGAAAACACTCACGATTTAGTGTTAAATAAGTGATATATCATCCACTCCTAATCTGCATAGAAAACAGAGTCAAAGACAGCATACTAAAACTTCAATAGCTGCTGTCCCCAATTGATGAGTTTATGGTGAGTTTTTTTAGAAAAATGCAAATCAAAACCATAATGAGATACCATTTCAACCAATCATAAAGGCTATTACTAAAAAGTCAAAAGAAATGACAGATGCTGGAGAGGTTGCAGAGAAAAGGGAACGGTTATACACTGCTCATGAGAATGTAAATTAGTTCAGCCATTGTAGAAAGCAGTTTGGTGATACTTCAAAGAGCTCAAAGCAAAACCATTTGACCCAGGAATCCCATTACTGGGCACGTACCGAAAGGAATATAAACTGTTCTGCCATAAAGACACATGGACAGGTATGTTCATTACAGCACTATTCACCATAGCAAAGAAATGGAATCAACCTAAATGCCCATCAACAGTAGACCAGATAAAGAAAATGTGGCACATATACACTGTGGAATACTATGCAGCCATAAAAAAGAATACCATCATGTCCTTTGCAGCAACATGGATGGAATTAGAGGCCATTATCCTAAGCAAACGAACTCAGGAACAGAAAACCAAATACCACAGTCCTCACTTATAGGTGGGAGCTGAACGCAGAGTACGCATGGACGCAAAGAGGGGAACGATAGACATGGGGCCTACTTGAAGGTGGAGGGAGGGAGGAGGGTGAGAATCAAGAAACTACCTATCAGGTACTATGCTTATTATTTGGGTGATGAAATCATCTGTACACCGAACCCCTGTGGCATGCAATTCACCTATATCACAAATCTACATGTTCCCCTGACCATAAAATAAACATTGAAAGAATAATAATAAATAAAGTACAACATAAAGCTTTTTGTAATGAGGCCCTTTCTATATGTTTCTGGAACACTTTTACAACAACTTTTTTGTTTAGCTAATCTTTCATAAGCAACAGGAGTACTAAGTTTATTTATTGATGAGGAAATGAAAATAAAAACTCCCCTAAGAGCTACAAATAACAATGGAAAATATCACAGACTTCGGGTCTACACCCACTCTTACCACCGGTCACTCTCCCCGAATGACTGAACCCGAACTTACTTGGTGGGACGATAATCCGGAATGGAACGGTCCAGTGAAATTTTTTCACTAAGGTAGGAATTGTAGCCATATTTCTCATGGGGCCCCTTGGCCTTCTCTTCCTCAGCGGGGGAAAGAGTAGCCGGAAGGCCCCCTTTGCCCCGCCCACCATAACCTTCGATGAGCCCAAGGGATTTTGATAAGCCTAGAAAAAGCGGGAGAAAAAAAGAATTATTAGAAAACTGCCATAAGAGGATGTATCACTCAATCTCCACTATAGCTTCAATAGACATTTTAACATTACTGGTCAAAAAAAAAAAAAATGATGTCCTCAATTTATCCAACTCAGGTATAGGCCGCGAAAACATTTCTATTGAGAGGAAGGTCAAGGCCACAGAGAGTTACAGGGTTAAAGTCTGGTTACCAATTACAATCCTCTCCCTCCGTCTTGGCCAAAAAATACAAAAATTAGCTGGGCGTCGTGGTGCACGCCTGTAGTCCCCAGCTACTTGGGAGGCTGAGGCAGGAGAATCTCTTGAACCCGGCAGATGGAGGTTGCAGTGAGCCGAGATCGCACCACTGCACTCCAGCCTGGGCAACAGAGCAAGACTCTGTCTCAAAAACAAAGCAATCCTCTCTCTCCTTTTGGGAACTGGGGTGAGATTGGGGTCTGTAAGAGGGAGAGACCATCTAAACTGGGAGAAATGGGGACCAGAGAGGACACAGGACATGAGACAGAACCGGGGTCATTATTCATGCCTGTTTCCCTGTTGCTAGGAGGAACTACAGCAAGAGGGAGTAGAATAAAGACCCAAGTCACAGATCACTGCCAAACTGCAGGTGCTTTTGCTTCATTTGAACAGAAAGCGACATACAGATTGATTTTCACCCTGAGTTTAAAGGGTCCAACATTCTGACACAGCTCTTTCTCTAATGGTTTTATTTAAATTTTATCTAAATGGCAACAGGAAATACAAAATGTCTGAGAATAAATCACAGAGGAAAAGAAAAAAACTCACAAGGGTGATAACCGTGCCAAGCAGAGTTGGAGGCCTCTGCAACAAGCCTCACTGAGCAACGCAAACTCCCAGGATGGTGGCGGCTTTAAACCTATTATTTCCATTAGAGGATAAACAGCTTGATGGGCAATTTTTAAATCCTGGAGTTATGGGAGGCTTTACTACTTAACTAGAAAACTTTCGTTGTTAAGGATCCTCATGGCCTTCTGCCATTTCAAATGTTCCAGCTACTCAGCACATACAGACACACACACACACACACACACACACACACACACACACACAACCACTTGATCCATTTAAATGATGAATAACCAATATCCAGCATTTCATTGCTGCCACTGACAGAAAGAAGACAGACCAGGCTCCTTGGCTCTTGGCTTTCACAGTCTGGGCAGCCCGAGGCACCCAGAAGGATCCACACTTTCCAAGAAGACATCCCCTAAGCAAGTTAAGAGCCAAGAAATCTGCTCCAGTCGTGAGATAGTTCCCCATCACCTAGTGGCAAAGCTTGTATTCTCTCTCCTGCTGCTCTGGAAACAGAAATTTATTTTCTGTAATATCAAGATCGAAAGCAAAGGTTGAGTGAGCACCTCAGTCAATGTCAGATGAGCATCATTTTTCTGCCTGAGAATCATTTCCTCCGTCCAATACGCGCTTCCATCTTTTCTTGCAGCCATCATCTCCATAGAGACCTTATCAGGGGAGAATTAGGGTACTCCAGCACTTTCTATCTGCTCCCTCATCTTGAATCTGATCCACACCAATGTGTAACAAGTATTCCAATGGCATCCCCTGAACTGTCCTCAGAACTCTACAAGGACTCTTCATGTGTTGAGTACAAATACCTGTGCTTGGTTTTAAAATCACTTGTGATGCAGCATTACTAGTGGGAATGTACAGTGGTGCCGCCACTTTGGAAAACAGTTGGGTTTTTCTTCAAAATGCTAAATATAGGCTGGGCGCAGTGGCTCACACCTGCAATCCCAGCACTTTGGGAGGCCAAGGTAGGTGGATCACCTGAGGTCAGGAGTTGGAGACCAGCCTGGCCAATATAGTGAAACTCCGTCTCTACTAAAAATACAAAAATTAGCCAGGTGTGGTGGTGGGCACCTGTAATCCCAACTATTCGAGAGACTGAGGCAGGAGAATCGCTAGAACCCAGGAGACAGAGATTGCGGTGAGCGAAGATCCCGCCACTGCACTCCAGCCTGGGTGACAGAGCGACATTGTCTCAAAAACAAAAAATGCTAAATATAGTAACCATATGACCCAGCAATTCCACTCCTAGGTATAAACCCAAGAAAAATGGAAACATTCATCCCCACAAAAACTTGTACACAAATGTCCACAGCTGCATTATTCTTATTAGTTAAAATGTCCATCAACTGATGAATGGAAAAACAAAATACAGTATCTCCCAAAATATAGTATATAAAAACAAAATATAGCATATTATATTGACCAATGGGATATTGGGCAATATAAAAGAATGAAGTAGTGAGCCAAGCTATGACGTGAGTGAACCTTGACTTGAAAATGTTATGCCAAGTAAATGAAACTAGTCACAAAAGACCATGTAGTGATTCTATTTATGTGAAATATACAGAAAAGTTGAATCTGTAGAACCTGAATGTAGATCCGTGGTTGCTTAGGGAAGGGGGGACTTGGGGAGAAAATGGAGAGTGACTGTTAATATGGATAGGGACTCTTCCTGGAGTGATGGGAATGTTACAGCATTAGATCATGGTGATGGGTGCACAAATTTGTGGAGATACTAAATAACCACTAAACTGTACACTTTTAAATAGATGAATGATATGAGCTCTGTAAAATATCTCAATATGGCTGGGCGCGGTGTTTCACGCCTATAATCCCAGCACTTGAAGCGGCCGAGGTGGCCAGATCACTTGCTGCTTGAGGTCAGGAATTTGAGACCAGCCTGGCCAACATTGTGAAACCCCATCTCTACTAAAAATACAAAAATTAGCCCAGGGTGGTGGCACGCACCTGTAATCCCAGCTACTCAGGAGGCTGAGGCAGGAGAATTGTTTGAACCCAGGAGGCGGAGGTTGCAGTGAGCCGAGATTGTGTCACTGCACTCCAGCCTGGCAACAAAGCAAGACTTTGTCTCAACAACAACAACAAAAACCCTCAATACAGTTGTTAAGAAAAAAACACTTAGGATAGACAATTCTATTCACAGCAAGAGGAAAGGCTACCCAACATAAAAAATTTCTAGCAAAATCCCTGAAATGCTCAATAAAACAATTTTAAAATATTTAAAATATATATCTGATCTTGCAAGAATGAAAGGGAAACTCCTAGAGGTAAGTTAAAATCAGAGTTGAGTCTATTTCTGCCCTCAGAGAGAGGGATAGGATGGGTTGCTGCAGTTTCAGAGCTCAAGCGTGCACAGGATATGAGATTTGGGGTTCTCTTGAGAAATATCATTGAAACTGAAATATCTGCAAAAGTTTTAGGCTCCTGAAAGACTGGAATTTTTTTTTTTTTTTTTTTTTGCAAATCCAAGGAACAGCATAATGAGACAAACAAGAAGATGGCCTCTGAGTGTGCTCAGAGTCGGGGTGAAAACATCCCAACCCAGGACTTGAGACTACACATGCGTTTGTCTAAATTTACATGGTATCCAGAGGTCAGAGAATTGCCATTGAAGATTACAAGCTCTTCAAAGAGTACTCAAGACAATAATGGAAACACAGTCATAAAATCTAATTTTTAAAATTTTATATGGAGGAAGGAGCCCATCTAGGCAAAAGTGTCTCAGCCCACAAAAGTCCATCTGCAGCCCTGGGTCCCTTGAGTTCAGCTTTTCATCTAGAAGTGACACATAAAGAAGGAAAGTAACAAGCTCTGAAGCATGGCCGATAACAGCACAAAGGCTGACCCCAGGAACAACAGTAATGACAGCGACCATTTATTGGGTACCACTGTGTGGTGGGCACTCAGCTAAATGTTTCACATTTATTCTACCGTTGTTTCCTCTAACCTCCTGACCAGCTCAGGGGGAAGGTATTATTACAACCTCTGTTTCACAAATGAGGACACTGGCTGAGCGCAGTGGCTCATGCCTGTAATCCCAGCACTTTGGGAGGCCAAGGCAGGTGGATCATGAGGTCAGGAGTTCAAGACCAGTCTGGCCAACATGGTGAAACCCCATCTCTACTAAAAATACAAAAATTAGCTGCGTGTGGTGGCGCATGCCTGTAATGCCAGCTACTCAGGAGGCTGAGGCAGGAGAATCGCTTGAACTGGGACCTGGGAAGCGGAGGTTGCAGTGAGCTGAGATTGGGCCATTGCACTCCAGCCTGGGCTACAGAGCATGTATCCATCTCAAATAAAATAAAATAAAATAAATGAGGATACTGAGTCTGAGAATGTAGGAACGTAGGAACTTTTTCTTTTAAGGGATAGCCTCACTCTGTCACCTTGGGTAGAGTGCAGTGGTGTGATCAGGGCACACTCACTGCAGCTTTGAACTCCTGGGTTCAAGCAATCCTTCTGCCTCAGCCTCCCAAATACCTGGAATTGCAGGTGCATGACACCAACCTAGCTAATTTGTTTTAAAAAATTTTGTAGAGATGGGGTCTTGCTGTGTTGCCCAGGCTGGTCTCAGACTCCTGGCCTCAAGTGATCCTCTCACCCTGGCCTCCCAAAATGCTGGGATTACAGGTGTGAACCACCACACCTGGCCAAATGGATTTTCCACTTCCCTTCCCCAGTACTTGCTAACTTCTCCTCATAAGCCACACAGTCCCCAAAGGGTCAAGGCAAAAGACTCTATCAGAATGGGACAGAATTCTTGACCTTTGACTTAACTTGGCAGCTCCCATAGAAAAACTTCTGATTCTTCCTCTGACTTGATCTGTGTGGTTTGCTTGGCTTGTCTTTTTCTTCACTTGATGATACAGCATGTCTTTTGTTCAGTCTAAATAGATAGCTTCCAATCCAAGTCATTAAATTTCACCTTAGAGCTAAAATGCATTTCAGCCGTGTTTACCAAGCACACCGCCCTGGGCAGCCTTTCCAATGCAGTCAGAGGGGCCAGAAGAATTTTTTTTAATAAAATGGTATAGAAATTAAGACCAAGTATGCATGCGTATCCACCAAGGAGACACAGGGAATGATGGTCCTGATGAGATTTCCTTTCTCCTTCTGTGGCATC